ATCTCTCTCTCTCTCTCTCTCAAATAATACTGTATTACAAAATCAATTGTTAGCATCTTTTTTGTGTTGCATTGATTTTATTGCATTTTACGTTATTATATCCAATACACAATTTCCTCCCAATTGTTATGTTTGGTATTTGACAACAAATACTTTATTCAATCAATGATTTATTGTTTTTCTATATCTTTCAACGAGTGGTTTAATGTTAACCATAAATACAATAATATCTACACATTTATAGACATGTAATTCAACGACTTATGAGAATTCTGTTGCAAAATAACAAATAAATCTTATAAATAGATTAATAATTTTTGTCGTATAACTGCATATAAAACTTAATTTATCGCTCATTTAGTTCATAATAATAGAAATTACATACAAATGGCTAAAATTTATTATTAATCTAAATTAAGTTAATTAAATGCTATAAACATCTAATGAATGTTTAGTCCAAGAGTTTGAAAATTCATTAAAATTCAATTAATATCCCCTTTTAGATGAGTCTTATATTAGAAAATACTTTGCGTTTGAAATTTGCAATAAAAATATAGTTTAAATAAACGACAGAATATTTGCCTTAAATTAAATCTAATTAAATAATAAATTTAGATATAATTATTACTTTTATTATCGAGAAATTCCTGATATAGATATTTCAATTCTGGATATTCTGTATATTATGTAATATTTTGCAAATATTCACAGCTAATGAATAGTAATAAAAAACATTTATTGTCCATTAAAACAATTATATGTGATGTCTATAGTAATGTAGATCCATTGAAACGCGAGGCCCGAGAAAACATCACTAAACAGGTATTAAATGCATTGGTGTATTAAACAAAAAAAACTAATATTTAAAACCAAAATAAATAAACTGAATTTATAGACCATTTCGGCCACAATTAACTCGAGGACTCGGACGGCGACAATGTTACCACAGTTTCCCAATTTAAAGGAACTTATATTAAATAATACAATGGACAGGGACAAGGTAATTAGTCAATTATTTACCATCAGTGCTTTGCCAATACACACATAACCTGTATTTAATATTTATACAGTATTAAATAAAACTCTTGTTACTAAAAATGATAAAATAAAATAATTTCGTACGATATATCTAGATATCGACATTTGTAATGATGTATAGAACTCATTGTCAACGAATACTGGACACAATAATTAGGGCCAACTTCGATGAGGTGCAGACATTTCTATTGCATTTCTGGCAGGGAGTGCCCCCACATCTCAGTCCTATACTGCAATCCAATTCTGTCGTCAATCTGATCGGCGTTTGCGATTCAATACTATATAAAACAATAGCCAATGTATTGCTGCCATCCGTATTGCAAACACTTCCCGAAAGGTATTTATTTGTTAAGCCATTTATGTGTCAATACATTTTATACATTTTATAAATATATTGTAAATTAAACGATAATTTATTTTCAAAATAATCACTTGTATTAAATGTATGTTAAGTTTGACAAAAATGATGAGACAGTTTGCCGCAGAGCTGGACAGTTGGCTCCGTATGTCTCTGTATAATTTGCCGGACACATTGCGCTCGGTCAAACTAGAGCTGGCCCGCCGATTCAGCCAGGTGATGAAACGACAGACCTCGCTCAATCATCTGTCGCAGGCCTCGCGTATGGTTGTCAACAACAACGAGATTACTATACAAATGCTGAGAGACTGGCGACTAATTGACGTAAATAATATTTGCCGCGAAATTCTGTGCGACTATTTTAACGCCGATAACAACACTAACGGCACCGACACTACCGGTGGTCAACAGCAGCACAACACCGGCGGTGATACCGATTCCGGCGATAACAACACTAATAACCCTGACATATGCTGTTCGTCCATAAAGTTAATTATAAAATGTATTTTGAATTTTGCAATTTTGAATATATAAAAACGATCATGATGTTGTTGTGAATAAAATGCATAATTTATGCCACAGTTTGTGAACAATTTGAGCATTTGCTGGAAGAAGAGGCACAGATCGAGAACTACTTGGAGTGGTTGGAGAGTCTCGTCCAGAAATGTGTTATTTATGTCAGTAATTTTTGACAACTTATTTAATATTGTAATTGACTTTTAATGTATAATTTCTTATAAATAATAGCCGAGTCTTAATAGCAGTCACTCGTCGACAATACGGCGCTTTTCGCGACACTTTCTGCTGCTGTGGTCGGCGTTTGGTTCACGAGTCATACGGGATATGACTTTACACAGCGCTCAGAGTTTTGGTATAAGAAAAATAAATGTTTACAATATTTTAATGCCAATAATTAGACACAAGATTGTATTTCTAATGACATAACTATTTGGATGTATTTAAAGGCTCTTTCCATTTGTTGCGCCTAATGTTTGACGACTATGTCTTATATCTCGTTGAATACTTACAACTCGACGAACAGATGAAACAATTTATGAAACTCATACCCAATAACGAGCCCCCGGTCTTCACCGTCTTCTACTTCAATGGTATCTATGGTTTGATATTATAATTAATATTAAATTAGTTTGCAATTAATTAATGTAAAACATGCGCTATTTTTATAGACTTTGAGATGTTGTCCAACCAAACGGTCAGCTCATCGACGGTAGAGTACGAGCCGACTGTGAGCAGTAGTACCGGTGATTTTGTGGCCACCGATAGTCAAAACCACGATATGATTGGCTCGACATCAGTGGACACCAATCAAACAGATATAACTGTCGCCCAAAATAATCCATATTCCTCTTCGTCTTCATCTCCATCTTATATCGCATATAATTCAACGCAAAATACATACTCTAATCAAAGGTAATAATTGTTAACATTATGAGTATTTTACTAATTATTTTAATGTAAATAAGTTTAATATATGGCACTCATGTCGAGCAACCGATCCAAAGACACAATCCGTCAAACTATTGCTGGTATTCAGCGTCTAATATGAACTCAATGTACGACCAGTTCGATGACCAACAGATCTCTAATGGCCACCAATCGGTCATCACATCTGGTGGTCAGATGTCTTCAATGGTATCGCAACCGGTGGTCAACGACCAGACAATTGACGAGTTGACTGTTGTTAATGGACACGAGTTTTACGATTGCATACAATAGGTGTTAATTAACAGGAATTGAGTTTTTTTATTTCATTATACAAAACATTAAACATTTACAAAACAATTGTTTCAAAAGTAATTTTACAACAAATGTGTAATGAATGCAATTCTTTTCAAGCAGCAAGATAAGTTTTAGTTTGTTTTTAAACAAAGTTATGTATTATATATTTTTTAAAACACATGATAAAAATCGTTTCGTTGTATTCAATATTTAATATCGAGATTTTTATTTAAAAATAACTTTTTTTGGTTTGTATTTTTAGTCAATAATATTTGACGAAAATATTTCTACAGTATATTTAATAAAGATGTATATCATTTGAGAAATGAATGCCACTTTGAACGAGATTAAACTACTTATGACAAACAGGTGTAGACATTGCCATTGGATGTGATGGTGGGGTTAGTGTTGGCCATAAACTGATCGTTCAGACACTCGACATATTGAGAGTCAGTCCAAGAATAAGTGGTCGGAGAGGAATAATTCTGTGAATAGTCATCACTGTATTGATCCCATTGATAGCACTGTAATGCCATCCATTGATTTACATCGTTGTATGTCTGCTGCGGACAGTTGTTGTCAACAACTGAGTCCGGAACCGATGATATGGCTTGAGATGTGGCTATTTTTAGCAAAATACCAGAAAATAATTAAGATTTTATTACTGAATACAATACATGTTTGTCTGTGTCTATGATATGGCACTCGATTTACAGGTAAAGTAAGTTATTTTTATGCAATTAATAATATTTCCTTTTGTTATTTTGTCTGAAATTTAATACATTATGTAACCAATAATACAAACCATTATTATTGATGTGATTATTATTAAAACAATTATTTTGTTGACTATTATTGAGCGGTTGTTTCATAATTGTCAGACGTCTGACGGATTGTGATTCGTGTCGTATTGAACGGCAAACCGTTAATAATGTGTACTCTTCTAGCGTTACAAACAATAAATGCCAAAAACCTATTCATTATTTAATGGACAGAAATAATAGCAGTTTTATTAATTTAAAAAAAGTAAGTATAGGAAAAATTGTACAGTGTAAGTTATAATCTGTGTATTAATTTTTTTCTATAAATATAGGGTTTTATTATAAAGTTATTATAAATCAATGACTAATTAAATGTAAAGAAATAAATTCTTGCGCTTAAAGTAAATATAATATAACATGATTTTCAAGGATTATGTTTTATTGAACGGCTTATAAAAATCAAAGTTAATTTTTACGATAAATAAATAATACAAACAATTAGATTGCAATCAAAACGAAATAATTATAATCACTAGAAACTCGACTATTGAATGATTAATTGAAATAATATTTATATTAAAACTAATGTATAGAAAAATGGTTGACTTACCAAAACTTTTGGCATTATTTAATGTTAGATCACGTATAATACCGGATAGGTATGTGCCCAATGCAAACACCAGTTGACTCGCCCTACTTGTCAAACACGCGTATTTCCCCTATAAATCAAATACAATTTTTGATTAGATTTTATTATTATTACTTTTATTATACGATTCTCTGTATTAAATCGTTGTATAGTTTTTTTCGCTATCGCTTTGTAGAGTTATTTTGTGGCTATAAATGCATTTCCGATTCGTGTTTATCACAAACGCTATACATTTTGTATGCTTTTTAATGGATAAACATTATTATAGTCTATAATTTATAGATTCATTTGTTTAAAAGCATAAACTAAACGCTTAATTAAAATTTTTATATTTTTTAAATTCTTAAATTTTATATAAAAATTAAAAACTGAACATTATGTTAGTCACAATTAATAATTATAGATTATAACTTATACTCACATTAACCACATATCTATCGACAATACTATTGACCCAATCGGTGATGTATTCAAAGCTAATATCTTGAGCGATGCCATGGATGAGATCGCTGAACGACTTCCGGATGGTTTCGCTTAACTTATACTCACATTAACCACATATCTATCGACAATACTATTGACCCAATCGGTGATGTATTCAAAGCTAATATCTTGAGCGATGCCATGGATGAGATCGCTGAACGACTTCCGGATGGTTTCACTTAAGACACTGTCTGACAAAAGTGTCACCATTTGGGACCAAATCTCTTGCGTTTCGACGCATTTGATTTCACGGCACATAAGTGTCACGTTTTCCGGTTGTGAGACAACTATTTTGCAACTCTTTGTAAAAATTAAAAACACGTTTTGATTATAAAAACACTTTAAAATAAAATTTAAAGTTTAAATGAAGCCATACTTTGACTAATTGTAAAAACGAAAGCTGTCTCCTAATGGCGGCTGAAAATTGTTGTAAAACTTCCAGCTTTTTAGCCATGATTTGTGTTGACAGGGTTTTCATTGACTGCTCTATCCATTTGGGCATTAATGTCAAAATACGGACCAATTCTTGAGTGAACTGTTCCGGCAATTCGTACAATGATTTTGGTGTTAGCGAGCCTTCAATCGCCTATAAATGTATTTGTTAGTAAACTGCATGATTACCATGTTTTAATTAAACAATTATTAATATTATAATCAATTTAAATCTAATAATATGCAAGGTAGCATTAATTAACCCCTAACATTCATGGTACTGATACAAATTAAGGTAAAGTTACATATTTCTTTAATCTAAATATCTACAGTATAGTAAACTCATCATTAATATCAATTGTGCCTGTTAAATTAATAATGATATTTGTTAATATATTAAATTGATCTTATTGTACTAATTAAAAGTATTTGTAAACTAAATGTTATAGTATATCTACAGTATAGTAAACTCATCATTAATATCAATTGTGCCTGTTAAATTAATAATGATATTTGTTAATATATTAAATTGATCTTATTGTACTAATTAAAAGTATTTGTAAACTAAATGTTATAGTCACTATAATATTGTCACTATAAATATCACGTAACTCAAGTAGCCATAAAAGTAATATTGTATTATCATTGCGTAAATTTGTGTTAATGAAACGTGAATTACCACTGTAAAATTATAATCTATACTTCATTTTACTAGTTCACGAAATTTGAAACTTTGATACTATTAACTCGTCCAAGTCTACTGTATTTACAAAGTAGCTTATTCACACTTATTGGCACATAATTCTGATTTATACTTAAACTGTACTGAAATTTCACTCAAAAATAAGTATTTTTCAAAATATTTTCAAATAATTTCATCAGAAAATAAACACAACTATTGATAACGTGTCGTGACTTTTATGTTTCATTCAGATAAATGAGGGCTAAAAATGTTAAAATCTAAGTCTAACGACATTTAAATAAATTGTAATTTTAACGTTAAAACTTATCACATCTCAAAAAATTGAAAACTTAATTATTTTATTATCCAATTCATAATTAAGTTGTATTATTGTTAAACACATACCGAATAGAGTACAGAATCGGCGCATTCAATAACATTAACCATAAACTCGTTGTCCAACAGATCCGTCAAATGTTGAGGAATGCCTGACCAGAAGTGTGACAGATATTTGTTGACTTCGTCGGTGTTGGCGACGATTATAGTGTCCAAAATGCGCTGACAATGACTTCTATACATAATGAGAAATGTCGACAATTTGTCTCTTTGGACGTCAAACGGCACCACAAAATCGGACGCCCGGGGAAAGTGCCGGAGCTGTGGCTTAACGGTCACCAGTTGTGGCATCACTTGTGCCGTTGTTTTTAGCGCCCGAACCACTGATTTACGGATTGTCTGCATTTTGAAGCCTTTGTTTCGCACTTTTTCTTTATTTATCACTCTATTTGATGAATAAATATATAATTATTAAACTTATAAAAGTTTG